TCGCCGAGAAACGATGAAGCCGATTTGGGTCGAAGAGAGGGCTTTTACATGGTTTGATTTCACCTCGATCCCAATTCATCTCTATCTCACACACGAAGAAATCTCATGAATTACTAAGAAAAATCAAACGATGAAGGATTTGGCCGGAGTTGGTACGAATCGTCTTTGGTTTCGCCGGAGAGCTCGAGAGGTCGAAGAAAGTTTTTGTCGGGAAGAAGAAATAATTGGGAAAAAAATAACATTTTTTCCTTTTTCTATTTTCCTATCCGCAAATCACGTAGTGCCACGTAACGGTTCTTATCAGCTTCTTCAGCTACTAAAAACAGGATCGATTCTCTTATATTTGGGCCCCTTTTCATGTTTTGGCATTAAATATAGGCCCACAATTTATATAAGTACCCTCAAAAAAATCACCACTGGAGTTGCTCTAAGTAATCCTAACAAGGATGAGGATGAGTTTGCTACTATGTACTAAGACTTAGTAGTAGGCAATTTTTTTATTTTTTTTTGTTCTTTTCAACATTTATGTTTCTCATTTCATATTATTTGCATTTGATATTTTAACTCTCTTTGAGGATTAACAATAGTACTGTATGTTTTTCTTTTAATTTATTTTTCTAATCGCAATTCAATTTGAAGAAAAGTTGTGATACTTTAGTAGAGCTCAATTATATAAAAAGATATAAGTTTTAGAAAACGTTGTAAACTTCAGTAGAAAAAAAAAAGAAAAGAAAAGAAGAGTAAAACTTATAAAATTACTAGAAATATGTAAGACTCCACGTACGTTCAAAATCAAAATAATTCACTTAACGTGATATTACGTTCTCATTATTGGTTCGTAATCGGAATGAGAAAAGGAGACAAAAAAAAAAAGTAAAAGATATACGTATAAGGGTTTTGATTGGCCAAGCTGCTGTGGATTAGTCTAGTCAAGATCATCCATGGACCATCGTGCATGCATGGATTAGTGTGATCGACGACAGAAAATAAACGGAAATTGGTAGGAGTTGATTTCTTGTAATGTACGTTTATAGATAAACCAGTACGTATACAGTTTGTAAAGCATCCATCCTAATTGAAAATAAAAAAAGGCAAACTATAAGCAACTTTAATGATGATGATGTGTGGTATACTATGAGTCTATGATCATGATATGTATGTGGTATGGCTTTGTTAATGATTATGACCATCGAAGCTTTGATGATTAATTATGAGCGTATTTGTGATGCTTTTGAGGATTATTAATTATGAGCACTTCGTGATGAGTTTGAGAATTCTGATCATCTTTGTGAATTGTGATGAATGTATATGATGACTATGACCGTCTTTGTGATGAGTATGAGAACCTTTGTGATGATGATGGTGGCCAATTCAGCCTGAAACATCAGTGGAAGAGGCTGTCGAATTCGAAACCATTAAACCTAAAACAGTCCTGTTTGACATTTTTTCAAGTCAACCGGGGCTCCGGACAGATTCTCATCTTTAGTTGGTCTATTCCAAATAGCGCAGACACACACCTGAGCCAGTATAGCTAATCCTAGAAGAACACCTAAAACAACTTCATTCATCTTAAGTTGTTAACTATTTACTGCATCTAATATATAGATTTTAGGAAGAGCAAATTGTTTTGGGAAGAAATTAGATGCTATAAAATTATTCTGTGTAGAAAACCATATTTATGAGATATCAAAATCCTTATAAAGAATCGTATATATATACAAGTATTTACGAAAGTACAAAATTAAGCCCTTGCAAATCTAATAGCTATTGTAGTAAACTATTATAGCAAACTAACTATGTATGATTCCTAGAACCAAAAGTTCCTAAACATAATACTACACAAAGAACAGAGACCGTTTAGAACTCTATTGACGCAAAGACAAATACATTCGAAATTCAAGTAAACTACTACCATAATCTATAAAAGTCTCACACACGTTTAAAAAACAAAATTTACATGAGACTCCAAAATGCATCTACTTCATAAAATGGACATACATCCACCAAAACAGAGGTAATCAGTGTTTTAAACACACAATGTATTCTTCTAGTTACAACAACAACAAAAAAAGTATATTCAACTTTTTTTATCAATCTACGTACAATGCAGAATTCCAGAAAATACCACTACCACAGTAAATATTTCAAGAATCAAGAAAGAAAAAGTCACGATGGTAACATGCAAACAATAACCAAAAGACAATCCAACAACCAACCAAATCGCCAGAACTATGATTCACCACAAAGAATTAACAATGTAACACAAAGTAAACAAAAAAAAAACAGCAGAGAACATTGGTTATTGACAAAACCAACATCCAAATTCAAATTGTATATTTCAAACAAACAAACAATAATATTCCTTACTTAGAAGGATACAGATGGAATCAAAAATGAAATCGACGAGGTACAAGATACATACAAATTGATAGTTGTTTCTAAGAAACTTAACCGAACATAGACTCTTATACAATGTTCTATATTAGTAACTCAATGGGCTACTTTGCCGAATGACAAACAAAATAACTCTAAATATGTGTACTAGAGTAGTAAAGAACTTTCAAGTTTAACTACTATTATAGCAAACAACAAAATATTGGACACATAATACACTAAAGAGCAGAAAAGACCATAACATGTTGTTCTTCCACATGCCTACAAATGAGGATGCTACAAGTGTACCAAACTTCTGAGACATCAATCATAGAAGAGTGTTACTAAAACAAATAACAATAATAGGAATATCAAGAAAGATTTCACATTCTAGTAATTCTATAGATTCCAAGCTCAATCAACTCAGTAAGACTTAAAGTAGAGTCTAGTACCAGAACAGAGATATTTTCAATCATTTCGTATAGTAAAGACTCAAGCAACATGTACAATTTGTAGAATATAATACTATAATTATCTGTTAAAGATACAAAATACAAAAATATCAATCAATACGGGTTCAGAGCATAGCACAAAACATATACATTCGAGATTCAAGAAAACTACTACCGACGTATTTAGGAGTCACATCTACATTCAGAATAAATTTCTAAAGAGACTACAAGAATAATTTATTTCAAAAATGAAAACCCTTATGTTACATAGAAGCATCAAAACAGAGATCATCAATATAGAAGCATCAAAACAGAGATCATCAATATTATATACACAATGTAATGTTAAGTAAAACCTACCTTCTCATCATAGATAAGAGAAAATGCTACTATACACAGTGATGCAGAATTTTAAATGTCATTCACAAGAGTTGAATAATCACAAAGGGTTTTGACCATAACACATAAAATATATTATAGAGGTTCAAGAAAACTATAATCATAATATGCACAAGTCCCACCTACTTCAAAATAAATATCCACAAGCAACTAAAAAGAGAGACCCTGCTATACATACACGAACCAAAACAGAGATTATAACTATTTTAAGCACACAATGTAACGTTCCAACACCCAAAACAAAACTCTACCTTTTCAACTATGGTTATGTTAGTAATAAGTCTCTACAATCTAATGAACACTAGATCAAGGATAGTAATCTTATCAAGAGAGAGCTATTTAATAAACATTCTAACTATGCATTTCTACTACACTTACACATGTATTTGGCAGACTTTTGGAGCATATACCTGCAAAAATCAAAATAAGTCATTTTACTTAACGTCTGTGTCTCTTCCTTGTGATTTTCAATATTGTATCACTATCAACTCAACTAATTACAAAAAGGTTGAAAGTAATTACATGTTCCAGAAGTCTGCTACACTTTAGATGTCCTCAAAGTCTATCAATTTGAACACCTTCAGAAGCACATAACCTGCGGAAATTAAAAAATTTGGTTAGTCTTGATTTAACGTAAATATTGGATACTTACCTCTTTCTTTGTCTTATGGCTTTCTTAACCTCTTTCTCTTAAGGTGTGGTCGTTTCTACAATCCAACAACTCTAATTATTGGTCGTTTCTACCATCCAACATGTCTTAATCTCTTTTTCTTTCTTTGTCAAGTATCTATGTCTTGTGACTTTCTTAACCTCTTTCTCTCAAGGTGTTGGTCGTTTTTTACCATCCAACAAGTCTTACTGTTGGTCGTTTTTACCATCCAACTTGTCTTAATCTCTTCTTTTTTTTAACCTCTTTCTCTGAAGCTGTTGGTCGTTGTTTACCATCCAACATAGTCATAACTGCTTCATCATCATTTTCAAGTATCCTTGTCTTATTTCTTTAAGCAGTGGATAGCTGCTTCATAATCTTTTGACTTCCTTAAGCCATGAGACTTTTTCGTTTCGGGGCATGTCTTTATCTGAAGCGGTTGGTCGGTTTAACCATCCAACAAGTCTCTATCCCTCTAGTCTTTATCTGAAGTTGTTGGTCGTTTTTTACCATCCAACAAGTTCTAACTGCTCCATTGTCTTTGTCAAGTATCTCTGTCTTATACTCTTATGAATTTCTTAACCTCTTTCTCTTAAGGTGTTGGTCGTTTCTACCATCCAACATGTCTTAATCTCTTTTTCTTTCTTTGTCAAGTATCTATGTCTTATGAATTTCTTAACCTCTTTCTCTTAAGGTGTTGGTCATTTTACCATCCAACATGTCTTATTGTTGGTCGTTTCTACCATCCAACATGTCTTAATCTCTTTTTCTTTCTTTGTCAAGTATCTATGTCTTATGAATTTCTTAACCTCTTTCTCTTAAGGTGTTGGTCGTTTTACCATCCAACCTGTTTTAATATTTTTTTTCCTTAACCTCTTTCTCTGAAGCTGTTAGTCGTCTTTCACCATCCAACATATTCATAACTGCTTCATCATCATTTTCAAGTATCTCTGTCTTATTTCTTTAAGCCGTGGATAGCTGCTTCATATCTTTTGTATTCTTGAAGCCATGGGTCTTTTAGTTTTGGGGAAAGTCTTTATCTGAAGCTGTTGGTCGTTTTTACCATCCAACAAAGCCATAACTGCTTCATCATCATTGTCAAGTATCTTTGTCTTATTTCTTTAAGCCGTGGGTAGCTGCTTCATAATCTTTTGACTTCTTTAAGCCATGAGTCTTTTAGTTTCGGGGCATGTCTTTATCTGAAGCGGTTGGTCGTTTTAACCATCCAACAAGTTTCAATCCCTCCCGTCTTTATCCGAAGCTGTTGGTCGTTTTTACCATCCAACAAGTTCTAAAGCTTCATAGGTTTGTCAACTATCTCTATCTTAACCCCAAGATGTTGGTCGTTTTTACCATCCAACAATTAATCAGACCATAGTACTTTGTCAAGTCCTTTTGTCTTATGTCTCTTTTTTTAAGCCGTTGGTCTATTTTCCCATTCAATAAATGGTTGGTCTTTTTACCATCCAACCCAAAGTCTTTGATTCTTTTCTTTCTATGTCTTTATGATTTTTCTAAGCCGTGGATAGCTGCTTCATAATCTTATAACTTCTTTATGCCGTGGGTCTTTAAGTTTTAGGGTCAGTCTTTATCTAGAAACTGTTGGTCGCTTTTACCATCCAACAAGCTTCAACCCATCCACGGTCTTTATTTGAAGCTGTTGGTCGTTTATACCATCCAACATGTTTTAAAACGCTTCATAGGTTTGTCAAGTATCTTTACCTCAAGACTTCGTCAAGATGTTGGTCGTTTCTACCATCCAACAATTAATCGGACCATAGTACTCTGTCAAGTACTTTTGTCTTATGCCTCTCTTTTTTAAGTCTTTGGTCTATTTCCATCAACAAATGGTCGGTCATTTATCCACAACCCAAGTTTCAGACTATTTCCATCAAGGTAAGTCATTTTTGCCATCTAACCCAAAGCCTCGGACTCTTTCCATCCACCCAAAGTCTCCGACTCTTTCCATCCATCCCAAAGTCTCCGACTCTTTCTATGTCTTTCAGTCTTTATGATATTTCTTAACAAATGGTCGGTCAAATTCTTGTTTTATTCATTCAAGCTTTGGTCATTCCCATCAAACAAATCGAAACCGATCAAGAGTGTTTTTCCATCTCGCAACATGCATGCACTACCCATCCAATTCCGTTCACAATATTGTTCGGGACAATGTCCCCAAATAGAATCTGACAGAACACTATTAGATTAGTGTCTGCCTTTGAATCTTTTTGGGTTTTGAAAGAAAAACAAAAACATCAAGAAAACAAAACCAAGAAAGTTTCGTAGAACAATTAAAAGGCTTTGCAAAATCATCGATCGAACATGTTTGTTCTTGTTCGATTTAAATCCTCAAAAATCGGAAAACAAAACCAAAAACCAAAACCAAAAAAGAAAAACTTAAATCAGGAAAGACAAGCGATATACATACCTTAACGACGGTTTCAAGCGGAGGAGAGAAGCTTCTTAGAAACCCTAAGCAAAACAAAATAAAGTATATACGAACCATTAGAAAAACTTGGAGACCCCAAAAAAAAAACCAAAATCATGAAAGATTAGGAAGGAATCTAACCAAAATCACCACGAGGAGGAGAAGAAACTCAGATGACGGTAGCAGATTCACGCCAAACTAAGCATCGCTGAAGTACCATCAAAACCCTAGATCAGTACAACATAAAGATCGATTAGACCAACCTATACATCCTAAACCCAGATTCGCGATCTAAGAAATCAAATGAAACTTACTAATCGACGAGTAATTGAAACAAGATTGATCGAGAGAAATTCTTCAAATAGAAAAAAAAACAGAGAAAAATACGATCTTTTTTTTTTTTTTTTTTCTGATGAATTGTGAAAGTGAAACTACTCTCGCTGATATAAATGCGTGTAGTTAACAGATATTAACCGTTGATCCATCAATACCCTCTAATCAGACGGTTGTGCATCATCCTCGATAGGCGGTTAATGTTAGGCCTAATAGAGTTTACGTTAGAAGGCCCAATACGGCCCATTAATTCAAATTTCAAATTTTATTACACGCTCCGTCTCCTCCACGTCTTCGATATTTTACCGTTATTTGTTTCTCTTCCTCTTATTGCGAATTAAAATACAAACTTAACCACACCGACTAAAACCCCTTCGTCAAGGAGAAGCCAACAGAGTCAATCGAAGATTCAATATCAATTTAAGGATCCTGTAAACGCAGAGTCTAGGATTGGGTGTTGCATTTCATCGCATCCAGTTAATAAAGTATTAATATTGTTGACACTATTTTAATTAGAAAAACTGAATATATACAGTACTCAAAACCAAAACTATATCAAGTTATTTTCCCAGTTCCTCGTTCTTGGTATGACACAAATAGATAGATACCCAGTAAAGTATAAAAGAGTCACTGACTGGATCCAAATTCAACAATCTCACAAGCTTTGTTACCACCACAGATGGGATCACACAATTTAACATTTTACTCGGTGTCATAACTGGAGATATTTCTTAGTAGATTCCATGTACCTATCGTTGGCACCCAAACAACCTTTTGCTGTTTCAAGTAGTCTCAGGCAAACCTGTGAGACTTTCTCATTCATCTGCACATCATCAAAACATGTTACCAATCCAGTTATATAAGAATGACTCAATCTTTCAGGAATGAGAAAAATGCAAAACTCGGGAGAAAATAGTACAACTAATGCTGATGATATGCAATTGCAAGCTTCGAGTGCCAAGTTCCCGCGAACGATCTGTCATAATACATAATTAGGAAAACTTGAGTTAGTTAGAGAACAAAATTTGAAATGTTCTTAGTAGTGGTATTAGTTTTTACCTGTGAAGACTCTTTCTCAATAGCATTTAATAGTTCACCTAGTACTAGCTGCGTGAACGAGACAAGTTCCTGCTTGTATGATGAATCACCAAAGAACAGCAAATCATTTCCAATTATCTGCATAAAAATAAGTAAAACCCAAAATTTAGATTTCCAACTTGCAAATAGACTGCCTAGGGCCCTAGACAAAGGAATTTGCAGCTATTCATAAAAAATATTTCATGTAATAAGATGATGAGAGGCATATAAAGACCTCTGGATTGGCACAATGGTAAGGTAGATTATCCTGAGAAAGTGTTGAAGACAGTGAAATTATAGCACAGAATAGCTTCACCTTCAATCTCTGCATTGCCCTACAACATTACACAGTGTCAGACAACGCAGGCATAAGGGATCGTACAGTGTAAGAGATTAGAAGAAAAAGGGCATCAAAACAGCAGACAAGCAAATGTATGTCAATTATTCATATTCGATATGTGCATGGAGGTATGTACTATGTCTTCCAGACCAGCATACCATGAACTAGAGCAAGTAGCAGAAAAGATGCTTTGAAGGATCTCCATCACATCTTTCTCGGGATTACCTTTCCAATTAAATATACAACAAAAACTCAGCTATGAAGCTCTGAAGAATTAAGGAGAACAAAAGCAATTTGGTGATAGAGAATCATAAGTCATAACTATATTTTTGAGCAGAAACTATCTAACAGGCTCCACGATTTACCTGGGACCATTACCAAGAGGCTGCACAATTTGCATACAACCGAGGCCATACTATCTACATCAATTGACCTTAGACCTGATAGAGAAAAATGTACAAGATATTATACCATCAACATATCCATTTACAGAACGGTAAGGCACGTATATCTATCTAGAGAACAATAAAAGGCCCTATTGAATAACCGAAATGGGGGAAAATGAAGCCTACAAAGCTAGAGTGATGAAGTGAAAAAGAACAAAAATAATCATCTATACTTGAAAATAGTTCATAAGTAAAAGTGCATGTGTGCCACCGACATTAGAATTATCATCACAAAATTTAAAGTAAGTATTTTTTTAGTGATAATTGGTTTTAAGGTGGCAACATGTGTCAGACTAGTTTTATTACTTCTCACTTGTTAATCTAGTATCCAGTAATTAAATTAAACATTTCTAGACAAATAAACTCACCGTCGGTCCCCGCTACATTCTCTAAATACTCAACAGCTGACATGACTAGTCCATCTGAATGGGATATCAAACCACCTAAAAGTGCAACCTGTAAAAAAAGACTTCAGTACTTATTACATTTAAGATTGAGCACAAAGGACTGAAAAATACAAAAACATCACCTCAGCGGTTTCAAGATAAAGATTTAAGTGTTTCGTGGGAGTTGAAACAGATGGGATGGTCACTTCACTAAATGCTAGGCAAGATTTTACAAAGTTGATATGCTTCTTTCCTGCCTTTAGTGCTTTTACTGCCAAGGTGTTGCTTGAACGGACAAGCGTCTCCTGCAGCCAGTGACCACAAGCAGGAAAAATGATCACAACTCGAGCCAATCAAAAAGTTAGATGATTTTTGTTTGTGTCAAACCCTCAAGTAAATAACCGAAAAATACAATATCCATAGCAAGGAAAAAGGATAGAAAAGTCTTTATTGCTCTTGTTCTCTCTCTCTCTATAGTTAATATATAACTCCTATCTTCTTATTATATGTGCTTCTTTTATCATATATGTACCATGTAATATGTAGCCAACTTTTGATGGTAATTTATAGAGTTTTCATCTAATTTATATTATGTTGCAAATTCTTTTATGGCTGCACAAACTTGTGCACTTGTACACCAGATAAATTACATGCAGTTATTATGCATAACTTGGATTATGCACTAGATGGCAGATACAGTGTACTCAGCCCTCAAATTCGAGGATACGTATCTGGTATCACCAAGCAAGAAAGGACAAGATAATAGCAATGTACCATAGTCAAATGATTACCTCATTATCAAACTCTTTTTAAGAAGTATAAAAATGCACAAGACTGGAATTATACAGGGTCCTCCACAGGTATAGCAGTATTAAAAGTTCAAACTGATAACAAAGAAAAATTAATTTTGCTGACCTTAAGTTCATGTATCCCATTAAAGGCCTCACGACACTCAGCCAAAAACATCAAATGGCGTTCCATTTCTGCCCCATAGTCAACCTAAGCATCAAAAGTGAAGTCAAAATCAACCAATTTTACAAAAAGAGCAAGTACTCCTTGGTTTTGTAGTAATGTAAGTGAAACTTAAGTACCATCTCAACAAAACGAGAAATTAAATGTGATGTCTGTCTATTGTCATCATCCTTTATGGTAACGAAATCTGTAGCATCGTAAAGAGCCTGAGAAACTTCAAAAAGTAATTGCACAGTCGTTGAATCAGAAATGCAGCCATTCCTGCTCCAAGGGAAAAGAAACATGTATACTTTAAAAAAAAAAAGAAAAAAAAAAGGAAATTCTATACATAAACATAAGGATCATAACTATTTACAAGTCCCTCCAAATAGGATCCCATATAAATTGAACAGATCTTGTTTCATCAACTTTACAGTGGTCTTATGTTCCCACTGTGTGAGATCTTTAAATTACATTAAGAACGAGGGGAAAACGAACAAGCCTTACCTAGTGCCCATGTTAAGAAGATGCATGTTTACGCTGCTCTTTGAAGTCCCAGACATAAGATCCAGAATCTCGATGAAATGATTCTAGAAGTTATCCAAGGAAATTGTTTAATGAGACTAGATAATGATATCATCCAAAGGAATAGACAACGGCTTTATTTGGTGCTGCATATTGTTTCCTGAAAGCCTGAAAGTAGATATAAGGATAGAGGGATGAAAGTGCTACCAGAGAAAGTACTTCTTGCAAGTTCTCGAAATGAGAGAGCAGCTTCAAAATTATGGATTGCAAACTTGCTTGTTCTTCTTCAGTAAGAAACTTGTCACAAGATAGACGTACAATATCATCCAAGAGAGCATCCAGATGATTTTCCTGAATCCATTAAAACTGATGAATAAAATCTAAAGAAGTGAGATCAGATAATTGTCATGAGTACTAAAAAACCACTTCAGCCTCACCATCTTGTTCTGTAATGTAAGATCCACATATGCGTCAATAATTCTTAAGTAGTCATACAGTGACTGATACTGAGAAGCAGCCTGTTACAACAATTACATCTAATTGTCAGCCTGTTGCAATAGTCATGTCACCTTTCTCTTTATCATAGCTTTTTGTTTACACATTAAATGTGCAAAAAAATAAGTATTACGCGAATCAGTATTAAGGAATGAGAGGCATCTTTTGGTAAATGATGTGTAGATATATAAAGTACGTGAAAATGTCACTAACAGAGCAGGCAAAAGAAGATTGGAAAATCCATGAGAATGATTTCTTAATGTTGTTGAGAAAAAAAAGATAACACCAAAACCTGAATAACTTCATTAATGAGTGAACTGAGAAAACCGTCTTGAGATTTCCCTTCAGACAATCTAGTTCCAAGCAGCTTATAATTCAAAACCTGCTCGAAAAAGCAGTGCAACATATTAAGAAGGGTTAGACTTAATGACCCATTCTATTGAAGTTGAGATTCTAAGCTGAGGAAATAACCTGACTAAAGGAACAATCATTGCTGCATTTAATCATATCCAGAATCTCCATAGCTAGTGAACTAACTAATTCGGATGGAAGTTCCTTGAGTAGATAATGAAGTAAAATGGACATGTGTGAAGGGTTGTAAGACGAATGAAGTTTTTTTCTTCCAAATCCAAGCTCCTCAAGCATGCCCAAGACATTTTTCTCCTGTACACTAACCACTTTTTTAGGATAACAACCATTTCATCACAAACCACGAAACGGATTTTTTTGCCTCAGCAACAAAAAGTGCAAAACCAACTATAAAAGTAATTACTGAAGCTCATTGGGAATGAGTTAAAGAAAAAGATGGACGAATAACTTTCGGTCAAGAACTGTTACTAACCTGACGT